GCAGAAGACAGAACAGTGTAGATACAGGAAGGAAGATGTGTCTGCAACTCCAGTCTCTCTGCCAGGGACAGGATGTGCCCATGCTTTCCTCCACTCTTCTCAAGTTTCCTTTATTTTTTTAAAACTGGCTTTTAGGGAGCTTATGTGTTTGTTTTGAGTCAGGAATTGTGGGGAAAAAACTATACTACAATGCTACAATTTCTTCTACACAGAGTAAACCGGACAAACAGGCCAAAAGTAAAGGACAGTTTCTACCCTCCCAGGTAGTGAGTTCTGATTGATGGAGACCAAATACTTACAGGGCCAGAAAGAAGTGGATTCGTTGGTACTGCCAGGAGAAGAGGCCAGCCCGGCTAAAATAAGCTATGACCATAGACAGGAGGTACTGATGGAGAGAGAGGAAAGACAGAGAGGTCACATCCTGGAACAGGAGGAAAGAGGGGACAGAGGAATGGAGGTCTGGGGTAGAGAGTGCCACTAAGATAAAGTAACCAAGTAAAGAGACCTGCTTCCTTGGGGAAGGACAAGAAGGACCAAGGTCAGTCGGAGCAGTCAGGGGGAGAGGAGGCCTAGATGTGCACTGGGCCAGCTCTGAGGCGACCTTTTGAGAGAAGGCATGTAGGTCAGCTGGGTGAGGAGGGTCTTGGGTAAGCTAAAGAATAGGAGATCCTAGGGAGAGCAAAGAGGAGAGGAGCCCAGAACCTCAGGTGGTATCAAGCAGAGAGGTGATAGACATGCAAGACTGTGGTCTCGGACTTGGAGCCCAAGCAACCCAAGCAGAAGCAAGGTCCACCTGTCCTCTCTGCAAAAAGCTGCTAGGCCCTGAAGGGAGATGTTGACAAGTTACAAAGGTGCCAGGACTTGGTACATCTTTTTGGCTGTATGCAGAGGCAGAGAGAAGGACCATGTGGAGCTTGTGTGTTTGTTTTGACTAGGGAATTGTGAGGGGGAAAAAAAACTATACTACAATGCTATAATTTCTTCTATAGCCAATGCACTTTTCCAAAGTGCCCTGCTATGGCTGATCTCTCCCCCATGTCTGGAGGACTCAGAATGCATATACCTGAGAGACTATTAGATGATGGATGCTTACATTAGTTTAGACCTGACAAGGTCTCTGCTTGGGATCACAGAGCTTGGTTCCAATCATCCTGATTGCAGACATTATGACTCTAATAGATTTCCTCCTCCCTGAGGGGTGAGTAATGGGACCATGTTCACGGGGCTTCAATGGGTGAGAGAGAGCAGAGAGAACAGGACCTCCCTTGGAGAAGGTGTTGGATTGGAGCCCAATAGAGGACCATAGGGTCAGAAAGCCCTTCCCACTCCAGGCTGTGCTGGATCAGTAACACTTCCCAGTGGAAAGCAACCTCACCTTGTCAGACACCCTCAGGTTCTTGTCCCAGGCCAGGAATCTTTTGACAACAGGATCCTCTGTGAACAGAACACTGGTGTTAGTTTGGAACCAGAAGAGGTTTCAATGGGTGATAGAGAGCAGAGAGAACAGGACCTCCCCTGGAGAAGGTGTGGGATTGGAGCCCAATAAAGGTGGATAGATAGAGGACAGGAACATTCCTTGGGCAAGTTGCTTTGACATGAGACCCACCACCCCCCCAGAGAAACAACTGAGTGAGGGTTTGGGTAACATCTGGATATCTATATGAATAAAAGCTTTGAGTAAACTGTGAAGGCTCATCATCACCCAAGAATATACCACCACCTCAGAATCAGAGAATTACTAGGTCATTTTCTCATGGAGGAGGAAATGTATTAGAGTCAAGATGTCTTCAATCAGGACAATTGGAACCAAGTTCTGTGATTCCAAGCAGAGACCTTGTCAGGTCTAATGTAAGCATCCATCATCTAAAAGTCTCTCAGGGAGATGGGTCCTGAGTCCTCCAAGAATGGGGATCTCAGGGATAGCAGGGCTCTTTGGAAAAGTGCAGTGGCTGTAAGTTCCTTCTTTGTGTAAAGAAAGGATTGGAGGGCGCTACCTGGGTGTCTCCCTACCTAGAAGCCGGTTGAAAACCTCATGGTGTTCTGGTTGCACCAAGTCCATGCGCCGTTTTTTGAGTTTCATTTTGAGGCCACACAGTGACT